CGGAAATAGTGGATGTGCCTGAGCGTATTTATTTCATGAATTCAGTGTGAATTCAGTGCGACATGGGCACGGAGAAGAATTACTGGACGATCTGGACATGCTGTATAATCTGGGTGCATTGGATATTTGTACGCCTTCTCTGTCAACACCTTGAACCGTTCTGGTGATTATCCTTCCCTTTTCGTATAGTGTGTCGACCGATTGCCGCTGATCCCCTGCTGTATAGGGAGTTTCCTGGTTAGGAACCCTGAAAACTACTTTTCGCGGTGGAATTTGTCATGCAGGTGTGGCATGAAGTGCAACCTCACATGGCTGGAAGAAAGTGAGGTGTGCCCTCTCGCTGGGCAAGCAGTTCAACTAAAACAGTCGGTGTATCAAAGGATGTTGAAGTCTATCAAACAATGAAAAGAAAATACATGTTCCACTGTTTAAGGGACTGGATACCTGACACAAGGGGGTTTTCATTATTATTAAAAACCTAGGAAACATACATATGCAAGTAACAACTCGTTATTACGAGTTTAAATCAATTATAATAATCATTGTGGAGATATGGAGATCAATCCCGTGTGCTCTAAATCTTGATGCTTAAATTGTGCTCTATATGTGATTTTTTAATCTGCCATTGTGATATATAGTTAATAGAAAAAGGTTGAATGGTCAACATCTATTGCTGCAAGGCAGGCATAAGGTAGCTGGCCAGCCTGTGGAGCGTGGCCCCATAAGAGTTCTGATGGTCAGGAAGTTGTAAAAAATATGTTTCCCTTGGAGTTTTAGAGTGCGTTTATATGGAGGTGGCCTTCAGTCCCCTTTATTTTACTTTGCTTTACTCCACTTTAATTTGCATTTAATGTAAAGAGATACAAAGATAATACACATGCTGCTGTAGAAGGAAGACCCACAAGAAACATAGCTTGTCGATTAGATGTTCAGTGTACACTCGTAGTGACAAATAGTCAAACCATTGGTAAACCTATTACAAATTAATTAGAAAAGGTAAAGTACATGTACATGTATAAAATGATATGTATCCGGTAACCTGTATGGCTGTAAACCGGTGAAAGAACTTACTTGTTAGCTAAAAAGTTATTCCATAATTTATTTTTTATAGGCTTAGAGGCTTTTATAGGTGTAAAGGTGGAGGGGCTGGCTATATTTATTTCAACAAATTATCATTGGGCTCCACAGCTTAGCCCCCTCCTGAGTAGTGAAGCCCGTCTGCATAGAGAAAACCACGCCCCTTTGGGGGGTTTTCTCGAGCCTCTCAACCAATCAGAACGCTGTATTTAGCCCCCATTTCTCCCTCATTAGCATAATTCTTCTGTGATCTTAGCGAGGTATAGCCTAATAAGCGGGGGGGGGTATAGCCTAATAAGCTGTGATCTTAGCGAGGTATAGCCTAATAAGCGGGGCCAGTAATATCCTAGCAATAGCCTACTTGTAGTTTTTGCTTGCAATTAAACACAAATTATTGCTGTGACCAGGAAGTAGAGAGAGAAAAATCCCTGATATTAGACCTACCATCGTAAATACACTTTTTTTTAATTTTAATATGCTGTCCATTACCCATGCAAAGCTTGTAGTTTTCTTCTCCTCCCTCGCTGCACTCTAGCTATGGACATACCAGGCATGCAATTGGCCAGATACTACAGCCCGGGCAGTGCAAACTCCTGTGTCCTTCCTCTATGAGCAAGCACAACATCATCCATACACTGGAATGTATCATTCGAGGATACAGATAGGCCTATTACAAAAACTGATACAATAAACAATACAAATAAAGATTGTAGTCCGTGCATAGGATCAATGAAATTAATGACGTTGCCCTGTAAAATAGTTGGTAATTCTTCAGATTTTGCGAGCTGTGAGCAAATTAGTTTGAGTAATGTGATTAACGTTAGTAATGTTTAAAATAGTACAGTTATAAAAGAGATAATCGTTGGAGTCCTGAAAATTAGCATTGTTAATATTAAGCACAATTTTTTCCTGTAATTTGAGGATTCGATGTCTCGCAGTGTTTCCCCGTGCAGAAATACCATATGTCATGCAAGGTGATATCTAGGTATTGTACAAGGCCAATAAAAGAATCTATTTAAACGTCCCGTGGAGCGTGGCCCTATAAGAGTTCTGATGGTCAGGAGGTTGTAAAAATACGTTTCCCTTGGAGTTTTACAGTGCGTTTATATAGAGGTGGCCTTCAGCTCCAAAGTGTTGTTTCTTTAAAAGTCTCATCCTTTGAAAAAGTCTCATTGTGTTGGTCATTCTGATTTATAACGCAATCCCCTTTATTTTACTTTGCATTACTCCACTTTAATTTGCATTTAATGTAAAGAGATACAAAGATAATACACATGCAGCTGTAGAAGGAAGACCCACAAGAAACATAGCTTGTCGATTAGATGCTCAGTGTACACTCGTAGTGACAAATATTCAAACCATTGGTAAACCTATTACAAATTAATTAGAAAAGGTAAAGTACATGTACATGTATAAAATGATATGTATCCGGTAACCTGTATGGTTGTAAACCGGTGAAAAAACTTACTTGTTAGCTAAAAAGTTATTCCATAATTTATTTTTATAGGCTTTTACAGGTGTAAAGGTGGAGGGGCTGGTTATATTTATTTCAACGAATTATCATTGAGCTCCACAGCTTAGCCCCCTCATGTTTCACAATAGTGTTAGAGATTTTAGTCCTTGCATAAGATCAATAACATTCATGACGTTGCCCTGTAAAATAGTTGGTTTTTCTTCAGATTTTGCGAGCTGTGAGCGAGTTAGTTTGGGTAATGTGATTAACGTTAGTAATGTTTAAAAATAGTAAGTTATAAAAGAGATAAACGTTGGAGTCCTGAAAATTAGCATTGTTAATATTAAGCACAATTTTTTTCCTGTAATTTGAGGATTCGATGTCTCGCAGTGTTTCCCCGTGCAGAAATACCATATGTCATGCAAGGTGATATCTAGGTATTGTGCAAGGTCAATAAAAGAATCTATTTAAATGTTGACACAATACCTATATTTCTAGAAATAGTCGTAGAAATGTGGCTGATGTGTTTATTTCAAGTTAGGCAGTTAGATATAATCATAAAATTTTTATTGTATCAGTTTTTGTAATAGGACTATCTGTATCCTCGAATGATGCATTCCAGTGGATGGGTGATGTTGTGCTTGCTCATAGAGGAAGGACACAGGAGTTTGCACTGCCCGGGCTGTAGTATCTGGCCAATTGCATGCCTGGTATGTCCATAGCTAGAGTGCAGCGAGGGAGGAGAAGAAAACTACAAGCTTTGCATGGGTAATGGACAGCATATCAACTTTTAAAAAGTGTATTTACGATGG